TTATCAGAAAAATACAGCTCAAGTCTCAGCATTTAACGGAAAAAAATCTGCTCCTCCTAAGCTGTGTGTTCCAGCTCCTGCTTAACACTTAGGACTTCTGAATGGCACAAAAGAGGCTAAATTTTGCCTGCTGGGAATGAAAAACCTTAGTAGAAGAAAGACCAAAGTAACTCAAGATTTCTCAACTGGTGCTGATCTTTATTGTCAAGAGCTTCCCAGCTCACCTTCCCTCCTGGCACACTACTCAACTCTGGCTTCTGCTAACTCCCCCCTCCTCCCTCCACTCCAGGTAACACATCCCACCTTGCAGCTCCCTCAGGATCTTCACCCCATTTTCACCTCTCCCTCAAAGTGAAAGAATGTAGGAAATGTGCTTGTGCACAAGGCCAGGTCCTGTGGCTGAAGGGAGAGTGTCATATCACTTGAAGTCTTTAAACCAAGAACAAATACTCTTCTAAAAGCCACACTTCCGTTCAGCCATGGAGGCAGTGCAGGACAGCACTCTGTGGCCTGATTCAGCTGAAGAATACCCTACGTCACCTTTTGGAACCACTGGTGTTCCCAGATGCTAACACAATAGCACAGCAGCATTGCTCAGCTCAGCTTCAAATTTCATTATCTTCCTATGATGAGGTCTTGAATTCCACCAACTGAACAACGAACGGGCAAGGAAATTGTCCTTCTTAATCATTTTGGAGACTATTTCTTGATAAAGAAGTTTATTCCTTATCTCTCCAGTATGCAGTCAGAGGACATGGGGTAATGGATTAAAACTGAGAGAGCAGAGATTTAGGAGAAAATTATTCACTGGGTGGTGGTGAGACCCTGGCCCAGGTTACCCAGGGAAGCTGTGGATGTCCTCTCACTGGAAGAGTTCAAGGGAAGGTTAGATGAGGCCTGGAGCAAGCTGATCTGGGTGGGAGGTGTTCCTGCCCATGCAGGGGGGTGGAACTAAATCATCTTTAAGGACCTTTCCAACCCAAACCAGTCTGTGATTCAATTCTATGACTTGAAAGTTAGGAATGGCAAAACTGTAACAAAGACCAAATACACCAGCAACACCAACAAGATGTTTTAGACAAGCAGTAGCAGAAGAATCATTCTGCACACAAAAGCAACTACCAGCACCCCAGAACTGCTTCCACACAAAGCAACTCCTCCAGCACCTGGGAACTCCAGCCTTGCTGCCGATCCCTGAAGACTGAAGTGACTGCAGAAGGTTTTTTGCTGTTGCCTCTGGCTGGGACTCTGCGAGCTGCTGCAGCGCCAGCTGCAGGGCTCTGCGGGAGGCTGCATCGCTGGAATGAAAACCACAGCCCTGTGAACATTCCAAAGCCTGCCAACATTACACATACTGTACTACAAAGGGCTCTGCTTTCTCGTTTCAGCAGTTGAGCTAATAGACATTTAATCCTTGCTGTTCCAAGAAGAGAAGTTTCTGGCAGAAAGCTCCGTTCTCTTCCTCAGCCAAAAGAAGTTATGGGGAGGGCTCTCCAGCAGGTTGCAGAAGGAAAACAGCTTCTGAAGAGCTTCTCTACAGCAGGCCACAACAAAACCCACTCTAAAAGTGTCTAAAAGATACCTTAGTCTTGCTTCACAAGGACACAGGCAACCATTTTTGCCAAATGAACCACAGGATCAAAGTTTTAATTTAAAAATCACCAGTAAAACACAAGGTAAGTGCTGTAAAACTTTTTAATGCCAAACATGGAGAGCCTGATTACTAGATGGCATCTTTCACTGTCATGTGCACCTGTAACACTGCAAGCTGACATTTCCAGATGATCCATATCAGTTCAATAAATTCATAAATACTGACAGATTCAATAACCCAGCCTTTCCACAGCAGTTTACTCACCGGTATCGATGCAGAGTAAGGCAGAAGAGTTTGCAAAGGCCTTTCACTGCACCCTCTGGGAGATCTGTAACACATTGCGTTTCACAACATTTCCTCATCAATCACTGCACTCTTGATCTTTCACACAAAGATCATTCACTTCACAACTGAAAGCAGGGAACTGCTCACAGCCCCTCCACATCTATGACATTGTTTGCAAGGATCTTAGAGTTCTTTTTATATATTTTAGGCATATTTTTTTAAATAAGGGCAAAATCGGAACACGTGATTCCCCAGCTATCCACGAGAGCAAAAAAAAACCTGTTTCAATTTTTTTCAACAGTTTTATGAAAGCAATTTTTCATACTATCCCTCTTGCTACAACTAAATATGCTCCATTAACTGGAAAAGCACCCATGCTAGTAACTGGAGAGCTGTTACCTACAAAACCCATCCTTAAAATCAATGCTGTGGGGAAGCACAGACACCCTGCAAAGCCTCTGCTTCAGAAAACTACCTCAAGTTTCACACAGCCTTTGAAAGAAAATATTTTCACATTCTTCTCCACCCTAGTCACTCGAACAGACCCCCAAAGCTTTTACCTTTTCCAGAAATGCATTTTCCCAGCTCACTGAGGATGTCCCTCCGTTCCTTCACGCTGGGTGTGGTTACTTTCACTGCAAACCGCTTCAGTGTGTCAGAAATCTAAAAACGCAGAGAGGAAAACACATCAGGCTGCACAGAAGACAACACCAGGGAGGGCAGAACATGTCACCTGCCACCACACGACCTCTCAGCGACCAAATGTGACAGTCTCATCAGCTGGGGAGAGGGTCACTGCACAGCACACAAGATGAAACTCACACCTGGCTGTTACCCTGCATCCCTATCACAGCACACAGGCTCTGCAAGACACACTTACCCTTCTAGAAGCAGGACAAAGCAAGAGGTAACATCAATTACCTCAAGTACAGGACCTTTAAAAGGATCCCCAAAAATACGCTCAAGAATACCAAGGTACTTTCAGTGTGCATTATCTCCTAAAGCCCAGGCAGCCCCCAAGGGGGATTCCCACTGCAGATCACCCAGGTCTCGCTGCACCTGCGTGTTCTGAGAAACCAGCTGTGGTTTCAGGCTGACAGGAGCTGTGAAATTCCATAACTTCCAGTACAACAAGAAACCCCTCAGCCTTCAGTCTTTTCCAGAATTAACCCACACATCACAGCGATTTTGTGAACTGAGCTCTCCAGGTGACAAAAGGTTGTGACTGGCTGGAAAACTCCTGTGCACTATCAGCAGCACCCAAGGTTATCCAGGCAAAGCCCAAATGTCCTCACACAAGGAATAGTTTTAATTCCTATGCCTCCGTGTGCCTAGATCTGTCAGCCCTTCACCGAATTTAACCACTGTAAATACTTTGTTTCCAAATTCAAGCGGTACCAGAGGGTGAGTGAGATACACTGTCTGAAAAGACCAGAAAGAAATTGAAGATCTCAGCAATCAGTTTCCTGAAAGGCTGAAACCATTTCCAATTTCTGCAAGATAAAAGACTTCACATGGGCTGAACAAGACTCAGCCAGGTCTGCACTTACAGGTTTTCTGTCCTTCTATAAAACAAACCAGAGCTCTCCAGGAAAGGCTTTTAAAATTCAGCTCTTAAAATGAGCAATTTTGTATCATAATAATCAGGAGCAACTTTAGGAAGGGCAGGAAACAAACACACCTTTAGAAGCTCATCAAAACTTGTTTGTTCCCTCTTCAGGCAAAATTCCACCAGTTTTGCCACAAGTACTTTCTTAAGCACAAGAAATCTGGCAACCGGGAAACAGCAACTGCTTCTGGCCTTATTAGTGCTGCTCCCAGTGAAGGTTTTTTGCTGACAGGCAGTAAGGATAATCCTGAGCAGTGGACACCTGGGATTGAGAGGTCACCCACATCTTCCTCACCCTGTGACCAACTCACACTCTGAACTCTCCTCAGAAATGGGCTGAAAGTGGGGCTCTGGACATCAAGGTATGGATTGACACAGGGATAACAACCAACATCCTTGTTCCCACCTGAACTGACAGAACAAGCTGCCATGAACAAGCTCATCTGCCCTCAGACCTTTCAATTACATGAGTTCATCATGTGCAAACTCAAACCAAGCTGCACCCACTCATGCTGCATAATCACGAACAGGAAGATGTACAGACACGAAAAACATATTTGAATTATCCCAACAGTCTAGAAAATGAAAATATAAATCATGCATAACGCCACAGGACTGCCCAAGCAGCTCAGTGACTCACACAAATGGCACACCTGGGACTCCCCACTCTCCAGAAAAGAGCTGCTAGGACAGACTGCACCCCTTTGCCTTTTATTAGAAGGTACATGTACACACATTACACAGCCAGAAGACAAACAACGCTGCTGCAAACAAGTGTAGGGA